GGAGGAGGAGGAAGAGGGGAGGGGAAGGAGGAGGGAGAGGGAAGGGAAAGGAGAAGGAGGAGGGAGAGGGAAGGGAAAGGGGAAGGAGGAGGGAGAGGGGAGGGGGAGGGGAAGGAGGAGGGAGAGGGGAGGGGGAGGAGAAGGAGGAGGGAGAGGAGAGAGGAAGGAGGAGGGCAAGGGGACGAGGGACGGGCGCGCGTTGCAATCCTTCATGACCGCTTTTTAGGTCACCGCATCCTGTGCGCCCTCTTTCTTTTTTCAGTTTTCACTCCAAAACTTCATTCAAGTCAGGAAGAAAGAAAAAAAAAATCACTAAAGTCGCCGCCGGGTCTTCAAAATACCCTGGGAAGTCAGCTTTCAATGCCTTTCATACATCTACACATGAATTCAGCTTTCGTTAACGGAGAGTGAGCACCCAGAGAGAAAAAAAAAAAAAGAAAGTCAAAAGAGTACAGAATAGCCACACGGCTCGTTATCAACCGCTCTCCCACAACACTCCCTTCATCCTTCTTTCTCTTCATCTCCTCCTCGTCACTTTGTTGCTGTCAAATGGCGACCCCCCCCCCCCCCCCTTTAAACCGCGGCTACTAATCACCTTCTTCCCCTTCTTCCTCTCTTTGTTCTCTTCCCTCCTCCTCCTCCCGCCCCCTCCTAATCAGGTTGTCCCAATGCATCGCATCGTGATCCCGCGTCAAACAGCGCTTCTCAACCACCTGCTGCTCCTCCGCGTTGCGGGTTTTTTTCCTTTTTCATCTCCGCCTCCTCCTCTACTTGCCGGATGCGCTGCCAAGTGCCGCGCTTAACAAACGGCGCTCCTCCTCCTCCTCCTCCTCCTCCTCCTCCTGCCGTGTCAGCATTAGTAGCCAGTGTGTTAGTGATAGGCAACCGTTCGAGCGTACGTACACGTAGTGTGACACTGGTTGCACTGTGTGCAAGCATATCCGATTGTCAGGGCGAGGCTTGAATGGCCCTACACATGCTCTCTCGAGTCGGATCCCAGTCGACGGGCGGTCTCTGGGTTGCGTAAAGCCCCCAGATGAGGCTGCGGACAGTGCGCGAGCGCTTGCGGTAGTGAGCTATGGTCGGGCAAAAGGCGCGCGCTTGGAGCTGTGGACGCGCGGGCACAACTCCGATGAATCTGCGTACGCGTGGACAGCGACCGCCTTCAACACCCGAATAGAAAGCCCGGTCATTATTTATTATAGCTGTGTTGGGGGCAACATTCAGTCTGAATATAGCGATAACGACTGGGCGTTCTATTCAGGTTGAGACGGTAGCAATCGGCTATGCTAGTAGGCAGTACAATATTCTACTCGCAATCTCTCCTGCTCCTCCTCGTCATCACCATCATCATCATCATCATCATCATCATCATCATCATCATCACCTTCTTCATCTCCTCCTCCTCTTCCTCCTCCTCTACTCGTCGTCGTCGTCCGCCTCCTCCTCCTCGTCATAATCATAATCATTCATCATCAAAATCATAAACATCATCATCATCATCATCATCATCGGGTTATCGAATGGGCTGTGCCTTGTGGTGCCCTCAGATTCGCGCTCCCAACCACCACCTCTCCACATTTTCGCGCAATGCGTTGCCACGTGGCATCCTTATGTCGTGCTACTCGCCTCTGCATCATCCTTCTTCCTCTGGTCCTCTTGCTCCTCGCGTCCCATCAGCCCCTCTCCCATCGTCGACGTAGTTCTTTCTCCTCCTCCTCCTCCTGCTCCTACTCCTCCTGCTGCTGGTGTGCCATTTGCTCGTAATTTTCCCTACTGGTGTGCCATTAACTCGTCATTTTTCCTCCTCCTTGACCTCCTCTTCCTCCTCCTTGACCTCCTCTTCCTCCTCCTCATCTCCCCCCTTCCTCTCATGTCAAGCCTCCCTTTATACCCCCTAACTCCCTTTCTCCGCCGGCGCATCCCACGTGCTGCGAAGAAGGCCTCCTCCACGCCACCTTTCTTTCATCATTTTCTTCTTCTTATGATTATTATCATTGTTATTATTGTATTACCCTTCTGACCACTTGAAATCACGATGCTCACTCCTGAATTGGAGAAAGACAGGTATTTTTTGTTTTTTTTTTGGTTATTATTAAGTAATATACTATACCACGATGCTTTCAACTACTGTGATGTATTAGTATTTTCCCCCGCTCACTCATTTCCCGATGTGCCTGCCACAAGGCACGCCTAAACCCTTCCGCCACGTTGCACGACTAAACCCTCTTGTCACGCCCCACCACTCAGTCTTCAACCACGCACGCTTATTTCTCCTTCCCCTTCCTTCTTCTTCCTTCTTCTCTCCTTCTTTCTTCTTGTTCCTCCTCCCTCTTCTTCCTCTTCTTCTTCTTCTTTTCTTCTTCTTCTTCCTCCTCCTCCTCCTCCTCCTCCTCCTCCTTATTCTTGTTCTTATTCATGCTCAGACGTTTGGAACGTTTGGTGGTGCCGAAACGAAGATCTGGGAAGAAGCTCCCTGAGGAGTACCTAGCTGAAACGCGTCCGAGATTTTGCGCGTTTCTTCTGAGGGAAGTACATGCGGATATGCTTCGCTCGCCTTTACAGTTATGGCCACTGCTTCTTCTTCTTCTTCTTCTTCCTCCTCCTCCTCTTCTTCTTGCTCCTCCTCCCACTTCTTCTTCTTCTTCTTCTTCTTCTTCTTCTTCTTCTTCTTCTTCTTCGTCTTCTTCTTCGTCTTCTTCTTCTTCGTCTTCGTCTTCTTCTTCGTCTTCTTCTTCTTCGTCTTCTTCTTCTTCGTCTTCTTCGCCTTCTTCTTCTTCCTCCCACTTCTTTTTCTTCTTCCTTTCACTTCGACGCCCACTCACTCAGTTGCAATCGCACGGGCCGCTGGAGTGTGGATGTGGAGATTGTGTCAGGTATATCATCAGGCGGCTAGGCCGGAACGGCCCTCTTGGCTCTAGGCGGAATGCTACGGTGGATGCGGGAGAGAGGTAGAGCCCCTTGAGAAGTCCTGGTGCGCAGCCAGGCGAAACCCGCGTCGGGGAATGCGCGCGTTGAGCATTTGCTATGCCTGTGCTCTATGTCACTCCTCTTTGCTGATGCATGGACACGTGGCGATTGGCCTCGCTTCTATCAATTTCTTATTCTGCTTCACCCCCAGTAACGGTAAATCCTCTTTCCAGCGTGCACAAGACCTGCACTCCTCTTTCCTGCCTCGCCTAAGCCATTCCACGACCGGCTCCTTCCGCGGCCCCCAGCCTCCGGCCTCCCTCATTTGGATGGTTTCTTCCCCTTCTTCTCTGCACTTCTCCCTTCTCCCTTCTCCTCCTTCTATGCACTTCTCCCTTCTCCTTTTACCAATTCGGATGTTGCTGTGCTTGCCGCTCGGCACGACGAAACCCTTTCCCCCCAAACACAACTCACCCACCCACCTCCGTATCCATTCGGGATGTGCCGCCTTCCACGCCACATGATGAAACCTCTCTCTCCCCAAAGTGCCTGCCACGTGGGACAAGAAAACCCGCCCATCATCGGGGTGTGAAGGCCACGCGCCACCGGAGTTAACCGCCCTTCAAATGGTTTGACTTTCTGTATTCGTCTCCCCTTTCTCCTCTTCTCCCTTATTGCTCTGGTCCTCTCGTGCTTTCCACGTGGCATCACAACCACCACCTCCTCGCTTTTACGATCGTACCTGATTCGCCACCTCCCATCCTTCTTCTACTCCTTCTTTCTCCCACTCTTCTTCTCCTTTCTTCTTATTTCTTCTTCCCCCCTCTTCTTTCTTCATCGTCTTCTTCTTCTTCGTCTAATTCCTTCTTCCTCCTGCTTGTATCCTTTTTCCTCCTATTTACGTTCCTTCCTCCCTGATCCCGCTGTGCCTGCAGCAGGACAAGCCCGTCAATGACAAGAAGAAGTCAAAACAAACATTTCGCAGACGAAAAGAAGAGGTTCAGAGGAAACAGCCACAACGGCAACCTGACCATCAGTTTGAAACACAGAAGAGGGACAACTCTCTCTCTCTCTCTCTCTCTCTCTCTCTCTCTCTCTCTCTCTCTCTCTCTCTCTCTCTCTCTCTCTCTCTCTCTCTCTCTCTCTCTCTCTCTGTGTGTATGTGTCTGTGTGTGTGTGTGTGTGTGCGTGTGTACATGTGTGCATCTGTGTGGGAGTGTCTGTAACTGCATCTATGACTTGGTCGCTCGCCCTTGAAAGAGGGCAGGAAAGAACAAATAAGATCGCCTTACCACGTGCCGAGAATCCGGGCGGGAGCGACTGTGTTAGGAGGTCAAAACAAATTTGAACCTGCGTTCGCGTGCGTGCGTTGTCATATTCGCTATACACTCAAAAGAAGCATGACTGTGGCAGAATGTTTCGTCGGACTTTCACCGACTCATCAGGAGGTTGAACCCCGACAGTCTGCCCAGGATTCATTTGATTGATGGATGTGCGTTGAAAAAGTGTCGCAAGCGAGATTTATGCATCGCATCTTCATGTCCATGGGAGAACGTGGGCCTCATGCACTGCTCACCCCGTGCCAACCCACTCACCGATGGTCCTCACCGCTGCGCACAGTCCCCCCAAAATATTAGTAATCTCAGGTGCGTCCAGAGGGGTGAGTGATGTGCACGGGTTCAGTCGCCCTTATAACTCACACCGGAATAGAGTCCGGGTGAGTCTCCTTGTGAAAAACTACCATTCACCTGGATCCGGGCTCGTAGGTTTTCCTTGTAAAAAACTACCATTCACGTGGATCAGCCAGCAAGAGCCTGGGTTCCTGACTTTGGGCCTCGCTCCACCACTACCTCATCGATCCACCACTCATCACGGCCCGAATGTCAGAAGAACATTTTTTTACCGAGGTAAGTGGGCTGCGGTAAGTACTCACCAGGGCCAAAAAAGGAGGCTCCACCCAACCATTCGCAGCCCTTAGGCTGCGGTATAGTGGGCTTCGACATCTGTGTCAAGGTGTCGCATTTTTGGCGGCGGGCGACCAGGACGCAAGTGGGTTTTTCGGGGGCAAAAAAATTTGGGGGCAAAATTGCGGACTACCTACAGCTAGCTCTGGTAGAACCGGGACTTTTGTAAAAACGAAGGACCGGTCCTCGGGTGGAAGTGGACCCCAAAAAGAAGTGGGGGCATTGGACCGGTCCTCGGGTAGAAGCGGACCCCAAAAAGCAGTGAGGGCATGTGATCTGCAAAAGGGCCCTCAGGCCCAGGCGTTGAGCCCCGTCTTCTCAAGACAGGGAGGTCAGGCACAACGAAACAGGCGTTTTGCAAGAGGCAACTTTGGCGATTTTCTGTGCTCAGACGAACAGGCACAAAAATCTGAAATTTTGAGAATCCATAGATGAGGTCCTGTTCTTTCCAGAAATAATAATAGAACATTTACAAAAAATCATTTAGACTGCGAAATAATCGTCGCGCCGATTCAACACATTTTCCATTTTTGCCACTCAGCCATGCCTGGGCCAATTAAAAAAGTACTCCAAATTCAGTGAGTTTTCGCGCTCAGAAGAATGCGTGAAAAAACCTGAAAATTGGAGTACTCGTAAATTTTGTTATGATCTTTCCAGGACAAATGCCACATAAATTTAAAAAAATCATTTCAACTGCGAAATAGATTGCGGCCGCAATTTGACCCATATTTCAATTTTGCCATTCAACCTCTCTCTCTCTCTCTCTCAGGACGTTGCGTCACTTCATGAGTGCGGGTTTTGAGAGAACCAAGATCTTGACGATTATCAAAACTTTTCATCGAATGGTAGCTAACACATACGAGATGGCGGAGCTAGCGCCCGTGATTGACCTGTTCGGACGGGAACTCCGACTCATGGATTACCCATGGAGGATAACCCGCGCCGCGATACTTGCGTTCATCCGAAACTGCAGGGACGCGGACGTCCGAAATAAATTCCAAGAGTACCTGAAAAAGCAAGAAGCACCAAATCGACGGATATAAAACTGAAAGTCCGGAATAAAATACGTCAAGAAATTCACACGACTCGGAATATAAAGCTAAAATCACAAATCGAAAAATCAAAAATAAAAAATCAAAAATATAATTTTGCATGGAATGAAAATAAATTTTTAGGGACGAAAAAGAAACATACACGACTAAGTACTCCGGAATATCACGGAATTTCTGCAGATATAACGACGTAACAGTGTCGCTCACATTTAACATACAAAACAAATAGAAGATGAAAGACCTAAAGCAGTGGAAACGAACCAATAAAGAAAAAGTACTCACCTGGAAATGAAGAAAAATTCACGGCCATGAAAGTAAACAAGAACAGAACAACAAACAAGGTCAGATTCGAGTCAGTATAAAAAAACAGCGGAGTTATAGGCAAGTACCACAGTAAGACGGAACTTCGACAGAGAGGAGAGTACGTGAGTAGCACGCACATAATCATTAGATATGATGAAAGTAGCTCCAGATTGAAGGCATGTTGGAAATGGACAACGACAAGGACAACACAGAGAGCGACTGCGGGAGATCCTAAGGATAGATGATGAGTACATTGCAAGGATAGGGAAAGTGGCGGAGAAAGACTGGGAACGAAGGGTATAAATACTGAGGATAGTGGCTGAAATGATTACCTGAGCAGTGAGGTAGAAGGGTAATCGTGACTGGTGTCGCATGCCATGGACATTACGTGCATATTGTGAAAGTAAAACCTCGCACGTTCTGTCTACATTTGCATGTGTATGCTGTGGAAGTAAAACCTCGCACGTTCTGTCTACATTTGCATGTGTTTATCTCTATGCACGGTGCTTAGAACTTGCGGGCGGTACCCGCGATGATTGACACTGTATAGACTTGTCACTCTTCCATTTTACATTCGCTGTCTTTATCTCTCTCTCATCATTCGTAACCCTTTTCTTTCATGATATCATAGTGACGATTTGTTGGAGATTACTATAGCGTTGAGATTACTCAGCAATTTTTGAAAATTCTATTTTACATATCTAGTGTGTACTGATGACGATCAACGGCGCTGTGGGGTTTTGTATCGATTTCAAGTACGAAGACTACCTACCTGACGTTCCCAAGCTTCAAGGACGATATCGCGTTTGCGATCATTGTCGGACAGGAGGCGGCGCAGACACTCATCATCATCTTTCGGATCTCAAGGGAGGAAGTGCTCAAGAAGGGAGAGATCGAAAACTCCGAGAGATAAAAGACATAAGTCAAGATCACCATCGTCACGGAGAAGAAGAGCAGAGTCGGAATTTTCAAGGTGGTTTTCGAGACCATTGTGGGAGCGAAGACGGAATGATTTCCCCCCACCGGGAAATCGAGCGTGGTTTACAGCGGATCTAAAGGAAGAAATCTTTAAGCTTCGCCGGGAGATGGACAAAGTTCTCAAGACACTGGAGCAACTCACACGAAAGACAAGTGAAAAGCAGCCAGCTCCTCCGAACAAGGAAGACACCGCAAAGAAGCCTGAGTTAACTCCGGACGCGCTCAAGTCCATCATTGATGAAGCACTAAAGCCGACAGAGATGAACCAAGAGGGACAGAATTAAGTTGGTCCAAGCGCAACCGGTCAGAAGAATGCAGAGGCGGAAGATAAAGTAGAAAGGATGGTATCGAAAGTGCAGAAGGAGGTCAACAACCTGAAGCTACTAAAGTGTGATATGGCGGTTGTGAAGGGCGCGTTGCAGAAGATCAATGAACCGACTCGTACCTGCACTCCGATCGTGTCGTTTTCGGTTCGTTCGAACCGGTATGTGGGGACAATGGTTGGACTACCAACTTCAGTACATGGTAGCTGCGGCATTCCGAGCCGAAGCATGCCAAGCAGAAGCGCACCGAACAAAAGCAGATTGGGATGCGTAATCCCTCCACACCCCAAGAAAGGACTAACGAAGATTAATCGCAACGTGTCGGCAGCGAAGTCGAAGGCAAAACGGAGCATTAATTTCGGGGCCGAACCGATGACAGACATGCAGTTCCTTTGTCTTCACTACACGGACATGAAGGTCTTATGCAAGATGCATGACATCAGGTACAAGGACAAGCCACAAGCGATCTCGGCATTGAGGCAAGTTCCTGGATTGATCGCCTACAAGGGGCGAGACTTCAACCGGGATTCTGATCTTAAAACACAGATCATGCCAGATCCAGATAACATCAGAGTGTCCAATACAACTGGCAGCGACACAAGTGAGGATGATTACGAGAGTCTTAGGACAAGATCAAGCGGGAGTGATGAGTGTGACTCATTTGACACATTTTCGAGCGCCGAAGATCTATCAGGAAGGTAGAAGACACCTCAGCATCAGACGACCTCACCACGACACAGAAGTGGGAGCAGATACACAGGCTATCAACAAAAATTGAGCAACTAGTTAGTACAGGGAAAATTAATGAGTGTCATACATACAATAGAAGGTACAGACTTCTGTTTATCTCACTAGCATTGGATGGACAGATACCATGGGCAAGCCAACTAGTTGATCTCTGGGTAGCACAGACTCATACATTTGATAAGCTAATCACATCATCATATAGTGTGTATGTTCTCGTTTCACCTTGGTGTAGACATATGTACAAGGGGAGGACAGGAAGACAGCCCGACAAGAGATGGACTGAATACATAAACTTGGCCAAGAATCCAAATGGTGGAGCACAGCAGAAACTATACAGTTGGCTACACAAATTTGGTTGGGAGAAATATGTTATGATACCCATTTGGACGGAAGTGAGATCAGAGGTGGTAGGGATGGAAGCAACACTGATTAGGAGACTGAATCCATTCTTGAATGCAAGGGGAAAAGGCAGAAAAACTCGGAAAAATCGAAGACGAAGAAGAAGAAAGAGGAAGAAAAATGAAAACAATAAGGTGAATCAGAATATACCTGTTTTGTTTAAATCGGTTCGATCGGGTTACAATGCGAAGTTAACATCAATACTTCAACCGAAAGCGATCGGGGCGAAGAAAGCAAGCGCCGAGTGAAAAGAGCATCGCGCGGCGCCGCGTGAAAAGACAAGCGAGGGAGGTCATGGGCCAAGGCGGCGGAGTCGCGCACTAAGACGAAATGACGCGGGGCCACGTCGGAAAAGCCCGGCGAGGAGAGAGGGAAAAGGCGACCAGGGGGCTGGGCGTATATTTGGATGTTCTAGCAGAAGATTCATTCGATTTTGCTCATCGCGTGTGTGTGTGTGTATGTGTGTGTGTGTGTGTGTGTGTGTGTGTGTGTGTGTGTG